CCTCAAAATTTTGTCTCTAAACTCGAATAAAAAAAGCTATCGAAGTAGTTAACTGCCTAAAACCGGCAAGACCTCAAAGGGTATCACACAAATCACCCCAGTGGCGAGTCTCGTGGGTTACCTTCATGAAGGCAGCGACAAGATCTGTTTGAGACCTGGCAAAAGGTATTGTCCGACGAGGAGGTCATCTGACCAAACAAATGAAATAAACGTGATCTAAATGCTTGGACTTAGCAACAAACACACAAATGACACTCCTTTAGGATGAACAAACGAAAGCCTCTCCTCCACGACTAGCAAATCAAAACCTCTCATTTGCGAGGAGCAAACAAAAGCGACTCTTCCGGGACTAGCAAATAAAAACTTTACCTTTGGGACTAGTTAATAAAGCCACTCATCCAAAATAAGTAAAGAAAGGCCTCTCCTTCTAGATGAGCAAACAAAAGCCTCTCCTCTAAAATGATTAAGCAAAAAACATTTCTCAAAGATAATAAGAAATTCTTGACTAAGTTTTGGGTGGAGAACCTCTCATCTCCTCGACGTCAGAAACATCTCCAGATGACTTATCAGAAAATGGTTTACAAGGCGCAAGAGATTGCTAGAAACTAAGGGGATATGATTATTACATCATCGTGGCCATATTTTTTTGTATTTAGTCTCCCTTTCTTATTGCACTTTCGCTTCTAAGAAGTGAGAGACTCGCAGACTCATGTTTTTGTCCAAAAAATATGCTTACATTTTTATTATTATTATGAAGATATTAAGACCATAGCAAAGAACTATAGGAAGATAGTAGCATGATTAAAATTGAGTTTTATATCAGTCCACCAATCGAAAGGTTTACAACCCACGACAGCTGACTGAAGTTTGGTCAGACGACCAAAGGTCCTCCAAAAAACAAAAGATCCTCCAAACGACCAAAGCTCTACCAAGCAACCGATAGTCAGCCAGAAGGCCAAAGGGCTGTCACACGACTGCAGGTCCGCTAAAAGACCGAAGAACTATGTGACCACTGATGGTCCGCCAGACGACCCTATGTATGTTAGCCGACCCTGTGTATGTTAGCCCATCAAAGAACTTCTAGACGACCGAAAAGCCATCCAAGCCAACCAATAAACAGCATCCATGCCAATGACCGGGCAAAAGTCCAGGTGCACAAAAGATAGCAAAATAGTTATAATATGAAGAGGCATAGTAAAAGACAAATGACTTGTAACCCCGATATTAAAGTTAGGGTAGCCATATAAAGTTTCATATTTAGCCTTAATTTTTCTGTAAATAGGAAGCCCAAATCATGTAAAAGTGGGGGCTATTGGACTTTCCTACCTTGACCTTTTTCATGTATAGAAAACTTATCTCTCATTTTCAATGTAATAGCTATTTTTGATATATAAAATGGTGAAAGAACCCGGGAATATCTCGTTTTGGCTCTGAATGCCAAGTCCCTACACTCTTGCTCTCTCTCTCTCTCTCTCTCTCTCTCTTTTCTTTTAGCTTGTTTCTCTTTCGGTTGTCATGATCAATTCCTTAGGTTTGTTCCACATGACAAAATTGGATTCAAATGAGTTGATCTGCAAAAGATATTGTATGGATCCTTTGAGAAATAACTATGAGTAATCAGTGCATCAATATCTTACACGCAAAAAGTGGTTATGTGATAACTGGTGATAGTCTAGGTATACCATGGTGCGAAATCCTAAATGTAAAGTAGGAAAATTATTCTCTTAACTGGAATAACAAATACAGAAATATCATTTTTTTTTTGTGTAAGAAAGCAAAATAAGGGTAATATTGATTTTTCTAAGCCTCTCTCTCTCTCTCTCTCTCTCTCTCTCTCTCTCTCTCTCTCTCTCTCTCTCTCTCTCTCTCTCTCTCTCTCTCTCTCTCTCTCTCTCTCTCTCTCTCTCTCTCTCTCTCTTTTCTTTTAGCTTGTTTCTCTTTCGGTTGTCATGATCAATTCCTTAGGTTTGTTCCACATGACAAAATTGGATTCAAATGAGTTGATCTGCAAAAGATATTGTATGGATCCTTTGAGAAATAACTATGAGTAATCAGTGCATCAATATCTTACACGCAAAAAGTGGTTATGTGATAACTGGTGATAGTCTAGGTATACCATGGTGCGAAATCCTAAATGTAAAGTAGGAAAATTATTCTCTTAACTGGAATAACAAATACAGGCATAGATATACGAGCAAATATCATTTTTTTTTGTGTAAGAAGGCAAAATAAGGGTAATATTGATTTTTCTAAGCTGATTTTAGCTAACACAATATACCCTAGTCTCCCAATCAGTTTCCACGGACTATCATAGTTAAATTAGTTCTTCAGGGTGAAACATTTTTTCATGTGCATTTCTATATTGTTCTAATGAGTGTGGGCAATCAAGTGCTATAACAAGAAAAACTATGCAACATTAAAATTGAATATAAATTTTCAAGTTTTTTGGGTGTGGTGAAAGTAGAATATCCGTTCCTTTAATTATCTTATGCAAGTTGGCTGACGTATTTAATGTCAAGAAAGTAGATTGATCATGTTAGACTTACAATAGTAAGCAAAAAGAAAATTGAAATTGTGAAATAAGAAATAAGAAAATAATTATTGTATTGCATTGAGAAGTAACGTAATCCCATTAACTTATCTTAGCTCAAAGGATTTGAGGCCAGCACTGAGTTCTAATATTATCTCCTTTATTTTTATATCAATTCGATCTCTTCTCCACTTTCTTTCATATATCTTAAATAATATATATTTTTTTATTCTTTTGGAGGATTACATACATAACTCTCAATTCTTATTTATTTACATATCTAACGCCTAAATTTCAGTTATAT